ATACCATTCATTCACAACCCCCAAAACCTTACGGCCTCACTTTCGTATGAAACTATCTACAAAATTTTTGAATGAGGAGCCGTTCCTTACACGTTGGCAACTTGTTTCTTTCCAAACATCAAAACAGACATGTCTAGCGTTACGAGTACATGCCCCATTTGGGCATGGGGCGCATTCTTTTGCTTGAATACAATCTCGTATTTGCCGAACAAGTGTGAGCTGAAGGGGTCCTTTGAACGTTTGAAAATTTGTCCCGTTTCCTCACACCTAGTGGCATTTGGAGCAACAGTCTGGCCGCGGTTGTTTAGATGCTCTTCACACACTAACACTGCACATCCAAGCTGATTGGCAAAAAGTACTCTAGCTAACTCTATTCTATTTTGGGGTCTCGGATAAATCATGCGTTGCGGCACGAACTATTGGCTCACGGAAATGGCCAGAGACATGCTGGCACCCATTCCCTTTCGTGAGGTTTTTGTCATACTTGCCTTGTTCCTCCCACAGCTGACATTCCTAGAGGGCACTAAAGCGCAACAAAGCCTGTGGGCTAGTCCTGCAGTTAAGCGGCATGGTGTCCAGGTAGAGATCACACCCACTGCGGCAGGGCTCGAAGGAATGCATGAACACCATGTTTCCTTCCCCACCTGGTCTACTGTAGCAGCCTTTTGCCCGGCCCCAATGCAGCAGCTGAGCTTCGAACACCTCATTGAGCGGCCCTCGGCCGAAGTTCACATTGGATGCCAAGTAGGACCGCCTTGTCCTCCAGAGCAGCGAAGGTGTGTATGCAGTGCTGGCTGTACTGCTGGTTTTTGCCACAAGCCAGGAGAAAGTCGAACCGCAATGGGCAGGATATCGTATATGACAGAGTTCGAAGGCAAAGCAGTCCTCGATCATGGGATGTTGCTCTCGTGCCATTCCCAGGAGATTTCGCGCCTCTTCCACCTTGCAGGAAACAGGCACTGCTGCCTATGGTTGCTCGGCTGGACACCTTTGGGTGTGAATTAACCCTGTTAGGTGCTGACACCAACCTTGCCTTGTGCGACCCAATCCATGATGAGCTTTGGAGCAACATGCGCTTCCACCTAGTTGTTCAGGAATGCTTTCAGGCGCACAGCTGTGAAGAGCAAATTCAAAGAGACGTGTTTGAAGCTCACCCCAAGGCCAATTGGGTCCCTGCTAATGACACTGGGATACTCCCTGGTGCCCTCGAGCAAAATGCAATGTTAGTCAGTGAAGCCACTGCAGCCTTTCCCACACGTGATGAAGCTGCCCATCAAAAAAAAGGGGCTCGAGCCTGTCATGCTGCAAATGGTGGAAACTTGAGGAGGCTTTCGAGCGAGCTCTGAGGGAGACAACCTTCCTCCATTTCGGATGTCGGGAACCTTACTGACAGTGTGTCTCTTCGATCATGGATCCATATGTCACACGCAAAGTCGTCAACAACGCAGGGAGCCAAAACACTACTGCACAACAAGTGAGCTGTGAGATTCCCTAAGGCCCTCTGGCAAGGACAGGTCAACTCTTGCAAGATCGCCATGGGTTTGCTGCAAGTTCAGGGTGTCGTGGCTGCAACTTTGTCCGTCCTGAACCATGTCTGCCCCAGTGGGTTTTTGCTGGCTGCGTCTGTTGCCTGCACCATATCCTCTTGCTTGAAACCTTGGCACCTATTAGAAGTGTTCATGCGCATATACCAGCTATGATCCGCTCTCAGACCTGTAGGTGCCTTGAGAAACAGTGTACGGTGGGACTTTTGGTCATCTGCCACCCCGCCAGAGCTCTGCTTTGGGGTTTTTTTGCACGGGTGGAGGCGCTATGTGTGCCGAAAGGCACAAGTCACCTTGATTGAATTAAATAGGGACACTAAGGAAATACGAGCCAGGCACCAGAGCAAGGCCCAACACCAAAAACCAAACCAAAACAACCAGCCCAAAACGCAAACAACAAAACAGCCAGGCTCGTATCTCAGAAGGGCTGTGCAAGCCGAAGCAAAAGATGAGTGAAAAAGGGTGAGACGGGGCTCTGAATTCATTCTTCTACTAACGCTCAGTACTTGATGCTCAGGCAATAGCGATATTCCTTTCTGCGGGCAGTGAGGCAATGTTGATCATTGCCCATGCGTGCTAATGCAACCAAGATTGCGCAGGAGTGGGAGCGCTTGCGAAACACTGTTGCAACACGGCAACATGTGACTTAGTTCAAAGAACACGGTTTTGCCGGCAACAGTTTCGGATAGGCACAGATTGGCACCTGAGTGGAGTCGCAATGCTTTCACCCAGGCAGTCGAGACTTGGGATGCGACATTCAGGGTTGAGACAGATGACATTCATCTTTGTCTCCGACTCACTGTGATCAAAATCCCGAGGAATATTGTGGAGAGCACGAGTTGTTGAATGCAGTCAACCATTGGAAAAAAGGGGGTGGTGGAGGCAGTCGAGAGCGACAGCTTTCGAAAGCCATGACCTGCAAGGGACCTGCGATGCGTCCAGAGACCGAACAGTTTGTCAGCGAAAGCCCCCCCCCAAATGGGGGAGGCAGTGCCATGTGTGCGCTCCACGCCTGCGGCTCCAAAATGGACAACGGGAGCAGCAACGACTGTGCAGAGCAACTGTGCGCAAAAACACCGAAAAATGTCTGCAGGTAGCACTTTGGCAAGTGTCTCGATATGCTCAGCATCTCCATGTTGTGATTTGAGCGCCCTTGAAACTAGTAAAGACACGCATGCCCCGTGAACTACGTGACAGGGTGAAACGCCGCTATCCTAGGTCCTAGGAACTGTACATCTGTACTCTATGTATTCATCCAGGACCACCTCTTGGGAGGCAGCCCTTGGGTACTGCTTGGAGCTTGCAGCTTGAGGCTTGGCACCAGCTTCGTGACCACGCACTTGTGGATTTGTTTTCCCACGGTGATGAGGCGCTCTAGGACAATCACCAGCCAGTAGGCCTTGGCCGAAGCTCCTGCTGCCCTCGTAGCCTCTAGCGTCGGCCACCCAAAGGGTCTAGTTGTCCTTCTCCAATTCGTCGGACTCGTCCTTGTCCGGATCACTGCCCGCACTGCCCTCCTCTGCCAGCTCTGGAACTTTGGGCGAAGCTGCCTGGGAAAACCAGGCGTGTCTAGCTGCTAGCTACTCAGTGTTGGCAGCAGAGTTGGTAGAGTCCGGCTGGCAGGCTTACTGGCAGGTTAATTGCATTCTCAGCACCTGCACGTGGGCGCAAGTTTGAGCTGTTAGGCTTCCCTGCAGTTCGACTCTGCGCAATTTCTCATGAAGTCAGCCCACTCCTCATTACTGTCGGACGGCTTTGGGAGAAGCCGGACCCAACTTGGGATCTTGAGTTGGCTGCATGTTTCGAAGGCATCATACTCTGCGCGCGTCCCTCTCCATGTGGTCTTGTTTCCTAGTCTAGTGAGTGTGCAAAGTTGTACGCAGCCTGCAAACGCACGCTTGGCAATGTAGAGCAGGGTGGGCGGAGTATGTAGCTCACCCAATGACTCACAGTTCAGAAAGGCGTCTCGCCCAATGCGCCTCACCTTTTTGGCAAGCCGAACT